ACTATGCTGAAATAATAGCGAGGTCTTCATCGTAAAACTTGATAATTAAACCGTCAGCCTAATGCATTTAAACGAGTAAAAACATATGCGTGATTACGAAACGTTTTTCAGTTCATATAGACAGAGTTTCGACCAAAATAAAAGTTTCTCCGAACTATATTTGCAATATTGAAACAACTTTAAAGTTCAGTCTCATGAAATGGTGATAAAATAATACTAAAAATAATGATATGCGCAGCTCGATCTATAAGCCAAATGGCAAAAGAAACGGGAAAAAGAAATGAATTCAATAAGTGTGAAGGTAACGACTGGATGAATGCTGGGTTTCTTGGAAAATCATGAGATGGGTGTTACGTATACAAATACAAAATGTTACGTATACAAATACAAAATAGTCAATATGGGAGTTATCCAAGGTTTATTTTGCGATATTCTTAAAATGTGTAGGAAATCTAGGGTTCAGAAAACACAGGCGATAAACACGTTAATTTGGAACAGCAAACTATGGTATGGGATTGAATGGAGGAAAATCTTACATTCAGAAAATTATATGGAAATTTTACATAAATGTCGGGCCAGATAAATAAAATGGCAGAATAAGCGATCGGAATTTGATAAATAATATACCTAAATACATTTTTTATTCCCGCCAAAAGTAGATGATTCCAGTTGAAAGCCGTAAACATTGGCGCTGCGTTCACGAAAAAACACAAGTTGAGCATGACGACAAGATAAAGATTACGTGAACGAGTGATCACATTTCAAGGTCACAAGTGCCAATACGCACACAACGTACACAGAACGCGCATTTACACATATGACTGGATTGGGCTTAACATGAAACGTTGTCACATTCACATTGAGGTTAGGTCTGAAGGGAAATATTAATGGGTGGACAACATACAGACCGCCCAGGTTGCCCGATGAAGCTTACTGTAATTTTGGGAGCACCTTCATTACCTTCAATTGAAATAAGACCTGCTATATTGAAACAGGATCGCCAATTCACTCAGTTCTATAATTCTGAACCCTGTTAAGAATAATACTGATGCATGCTAATTAAAAAAATTTCAAATTTGTATCTTACATTTTATTGGGATCATCGGACTCCCATTTGGCTAGTCATAAAATGCGAATAAACTTTCAATTTGTCCCTCATATGAGTTATGTATATCTATTAGAAAAAACAATTTTTTGTTTCCTCCTCGTTTGGCGATGCCGCACTATTCTTCCATTAGGATTAAATAATAATTTAATATGATTATCCGATTATAATCATTCAGGTTATATGTGAATAGGATCAGGTACGGTATCGCAGATACGCGTATATATTTATGGCACCGGACTTCAAACACACATATTAAAAAAAATTAGCAAATAAATACAGCATAATAAGGTTGTATTTCAAAAGAGTAAGGGATCGAAAGTATTGAGAATTTGAGATCATACAATTTCTTTAACATTTGTTAAAATGTTTTAACTCTGTTTTAAAATATAAAAGCCATTATATAAAAATATAATGTTTTATATTAAAATATAATTATGATATAATATATAACTTAATAGCCCTCAATCCCTCACCAATGTTCGCAAATTATGCATAAATAATATTCTAAGCCCAAATTTAAATTGGATACAGAAAAACTGAATCGGGTATCATTACCTATATGAATACCGTATTGAAAATACGCGTCAAAACTGCCCTACAGGAAATTTAAATTTTACTTTAAATTGTATTAGACATTTCTACCTTAATTTAGGAATCACCAAGAAAGAACACCGTAAATGTATTTAAAACGTTAACAAAAACCAACTTGCGTTAGTCAAAACGAGCGTTTTAGAGGTGAGAACTTTAACAGCTCTCCAAAATCTACTGGACCTTAGGCTTAGGGATCAATAGCTGGAGAGGCCACTGCAATTACACCCCCCATAGGCAAGGTCCCCCCTCCCCGTGGAAGTTTCCGCTGCTCTTGAGGATTCATTTTAGAACTTGCCGCCTTAGCATCGCTCGGTACACACTTTGGTTCCACAAGATGGCGTCCAGTCAACCTGCATGTAAGGAACGAGACGACCTATCCCCGGCGACGAGACGGCTTGCTGAAGTGCCAAATCTTTCGCTTTCCCTTTGCTGGTTGACTTGTGTCAGATGGCGATGCCAAGCTGACTCTTTGGCCGTTACGGTAGGTATACGTTCAACGTTCCGTCTTTTGAAAGTCTTTTACCAACCAAACAGAAACGGCCCATTTCCTGGAACCTCGCCCAAAATTTCAAAGTAAGGTCCGATTAGTTCGACCTTTTTTATTCAAATATGGTTCTCGTATTTGCGGTTATATATAATTATATAAGCTTACTGCTACTCTTGATAATTTAACATTCTCATACAATAAAACAATGTAACTTTCATGCAAATGCATTTGTTTATGAAAGCAAGGTGCGGATTTAAGAGTTTGTTCAGGATGAAGTTTATCGCTTAATTTGTCGATTCAAAGTCTTCGTTAGCTGTAGTCAAAAATATGAAAAGCGAATACAAAACCTTTTTAACTCCAAATAATATCTTGCCAATTAATTTCTAATGACATCAAACACATTGCGAGCATAGCTTATATTAGTGAAATAATGACTTCTAATTGCGAACGAGACATGAGGTAAGGCTCGCAAGCCAGCTCGAGTTTACACTGCTTTCTTCTGCTAAACACAGGAAATTTTAGAATCAAATAATCAGATGAGATAGAAAGTTTATTATATGATAGTCAAAAATTGCACGAATTTACGCAAATATGCAATGGAACATTGAAAATATACTCGTTCCTTTCTAACTCGTTAATATTGCACCACGACGATTCAGCCAGAAAATTTTCACGAACGAACTTGTATGAATTTTGTCCACGTCCATGTAGAAATTTCAACAGGTGAACGGAACAATGCAAATCAGCTGATAGGGATAGAATTGAACAACCATGAGATAGAACATTTTTCATGAAATTGTTATAAACATAGTCGGGCAACTGAAAATTAAGCAAAATAGCCGAGAGACAAGGTTAACAATTCGCACGAAATCGTTCAAGCGACATGCCGGCTCTAATTTTATAAAGGCATCTATGCTGAGGCTCGCGCTGTTGCCACATCTCACAGTTTGGCGACAGGTTAGTCACACATTGATGAAATAAAAGAGTTTAAAATATGATTACCACACTTCTAGCCTATCTTATGACAAAGAAGAAAAAAATATTATTCATAAGAATACTAACGACATCCCCTTGCCGATCGAATACCAAGAATCATTTCCGATCAGTGATTTGGCACTAAACGCGTAGGTATCAACCCGTTCGCCGCGACAGTGATCTCAGATACACAGGGAATTCTGCTTGGATTCGGTTTCTAGCTTATAAATAGCTTTCAGTAGAAAAAATTGGATTCTAGTGCGATGGACAAGTAATACAACAAGCACCCTCGTAGATAAACAAGACAATTTGAAATTGGTAATCGGTTATGGGATTCTTGTTCATAAGATAATACAGGCAAACAAAGCCGGCCTGACGATTTCCCGCCGAATCAAATCTAATAGATCACGTCTTTTCGCTATTACTATCAATTGAAAAAATAAGCACGCATACACTATTCGTTTTTCTGACACATTTTATTAAACGGACGTTTCTATTTACACCTTTAAGCCTTGCAACTTGATTCCCGCCAAACTGCTGCGAAGACGCGACACACCACCTGAAATGTTCCAAGCACAAAGCTACGATGATGGCGCCTACTGCGTGAACGAAGAGTGTGGTTTTGATAATCGATGCTCTGCTTCACTAGCGACATCTATTTTTCTACTAATTTATTTCAGAAGATTATTGTTCTTGCTATTAGACAAAATTAGATAGTATTTATCAGGTGTTAGTATGGATAGTAATAATAGTATACTTATATATACTTTCATAAGTTGCATATTATTAAATATTATTGATTAAAAATATTGTATTTTCATTAAAAAATGAAAATACATGGGATTAGTTATTTTTATTACTTTTTCAATTCATTTTCTAACGAATAAGAGGACGAAATTCATGAAATAAGAGAGCTAACACTTCACGAGATTATTTTCGAGAGCAATAAAAATCTTTATGGAAACGATAGTTCACTCTATGGGCCAAACTAGTTTCGCACTCCGTCTTTGTTGTACGCTACCAATATCAACAAGCTAGTGAATCTGCTACACTCAAGTTATCGCTGCGTCCTGCATTTCTCCGTCATTTTACACCTAAAAGCCCGGAGTGCATCCGATGACGGTGCCGATACTGCGCCCGCTAGGTGGTTGGTTACATTCATAACATAGTGATGTCGGCGCTGAAGAGCAGGCCTGATGTGGCCTGTCGCCAAATTTTGCACCCTTCGTGACTTGTCCACAGGAGATCTTTACACAGGTCCTTCGACCGGATATTTCCCAACTGACGATGACTTGAAATAGCTACTGGACTTCCACCGGGTTCGATATGGTGCTAGGCATTCCAAGTCTGAACATATATTTTTCCTTCCACAACCACAGCGTTGAGAAGTAGCGAATGTTGAAGAAACGAATATTACTACACTGCATACAATTAAATTCTACTGGATATGCAGAGGTGGGCAGTAGCGCGCTACATGAAGCGGCCGCTACATTTTCAGTAGCGGTAGCGGCGCTACATTTAAGCAATTGTAGCGGTAGCGGCCGCGGCCGCTACATTTAAGCACTTGCAGCGGTAGCGGTAGCGGCGCTACATTTAAGCAATTGTAGCGGTAGCGGCCGCTACATTTCAAAGTAGCGCTGCCTAGCTCTGTGGATATGGTATCACTTGCAATATTAGGGAACATGCCGCATGCCTGCGTTTCCAAATATGCGAAGTGATGGGATTTTCGGAATACTCGAGACCATGGTCGAGACTTCCAAAAAATCCTACGGAACGAAATTTACTTTCTAGGAGAATAACATTCTTTTTAGATAATAAGTGAAAAAATATACAATCAGCCGATTATTTCATGATGAAAATGACAAAAATCAAACATTTTATTGGACACCAGTAAAATATCTGTACAATTTAATAACTAGATTCATGTACAAGTGAGCCTCCAAAAAGGGCCAGATGATGTTAACTATCGTGTAATGTAACTCTGGGTAGTACTCTTAATTGTTAACTGCTGACTAGATTGACGATGGTTTATCATACTGTAAATAATACAAGATAAAAAAACGCTATCGCAGAGAGTATTTGTCCAAGAAATCTAGTTACTTGCCATTTACAGAATCAGAACTTTCAGGCGAAAACCAGTTTCCAGTAATATTATCAGATCAATCAAGAACCCAGTTGTGAGGTCATGAAGTAGAATCTGACTCGAGTCGAATAAATAAATGAGCATGCCTTTCCTTCCATCTAACTGTGGTTTATCGGTTGCTGATAACATTCCGAGTATCGTGGTAGATAGTAAACGGTCGTAGAACGTGCGGCAGTTAGACATACGCGGTTTTTAGATTTATTCTGCTTTCGTTTTAAAATCCATCTTCAATGATTTCAGAGCGCTTAATAACATACTCAAATTCTCGACTAAAAATCCACAATACACACGTAATTTAATAAAAAAAAACACAATAATCGTCTACGAATTACAAAGCTTAAAAATATTTGTTACGTTTAGCTTTCTCTGGTGGGAGCCTGGCTTGAGGTAATAGTCTTATCAAAATAATCAAGTACAATAATTGGTTGAAGATCATAAATGGATATCCCAACCACAGGAGGTGGATGCCGTTAATTCAAAACAACTTTCCTCTCTCAGCACTTACGATTTTATCTATATTAATATATTTCCAAATTCAAATAGTATGGTAATTAATGAAATACCTATGTCATCTTCTAGATACGGAAGAATATTTGACTTTACTTTTGGGTTTGAAACTAAACCCAATAAGCCCATACTTTTGGGTTTGAAACTAAAATAGGTCGATTATCATTGATTAAATCAAACTTGCGATTTGAAAAACTATAGATTTTATCGAAATCTATTCATTTATCGAAACTTAAAAAGGCTGGCTAGAAATTTGAAACTAAAATAGGTTGATTATCATTGATTAAATCAAACTTGTGATTTGAAAGAACTATAGATTTTAGCGAAATCTATTCATGTTTCTGAAAAATAACAGGCTGACTAGAAATTAAATTCATGTTTCTGAAGAAATCTTAATTTTCTCAAGATATCCTCTACGATTTCGAGATTCATTTTGAAGAACTGAGTACGAAGGACGATCAGCTGACGTCTGGTCTGAAGCTCCACCCTGCACGTCACGATGACACGTCGCGACATGCTTCTTCACGTGATGCAGCTGCGAAAATTGCATTAATTTCATCAATAAATGAATAACATTATTCATTATAACATTGTAAATTAAGGTTTTTAAATGTACATGAGTAGAAAAAAAGGCATAGCTTCAAAAATTAAGGGTTTTCACTAATATTGTTAGAGATCACGAAAATGAAATGTGGTGCATCTGCGAAAATTGCATTATTTTCATCAACAAATCCCTTCAAACATTAAGATTTTTTAAGTGTGTATGAGAAGAAAACAGGGCATAGCTGCAGAAATTAATATTTTTCACCAATAATATTTTTTAGAGTACATGAAAATGAAATAAAAAACGAAAATTGCATTATTTTTATCAACAAATGAATACAAACATTAAGGTTTTTTTAGAGAACATGAGAAGAAGGCAAGGGATAGATGCAGAAATTAATGTTTTTTTAATATATCCTAATATTTTTTAATATATAGGTACCAATATCTTTTATAAATCACGAAAATGAAATAAGGTGCAGCTGAGAAAATTGAGTTAATTTCATTAACAAATGAATACAAACATTAAGGTTTTCAAGTGTACATGAGAAAAAAATTAGGCATAGCTGCAAAAATTAATGTTTTTCACTTATATTTTTTAGAGATCATGAAAATGAAATAAGATGCAGCTGAGAAAATTGAATTAGTTTGATAAAAAATTAATAGAAATAATATTTTTTATAGAGCACAAAGAGAAAATAAGGTGCAGCCGGAACAAATATATGACAGTAATAAGTAAATTTGTGAGGGTTATCATGTAAGAGATCTACGAAAATATAAGTTTCCAAGTGCAAACTTGAAACAATAGTTTTTTTTTTAAATTAGAACATATCAAGTTGCCTGACTTACATCCGACCGATTCGACCGTCTGAAAAGCTCGGGCATCAAGTCTTAACAATAAATGAATCGTTTTATTTATTTGATTTACTTATTAGACCAAAAATAAATTGGATTTAGAGCGAAGATAACACGTGGGATTTACTAAAGGTAAGAATTTAGGCTACCTGCTTCAGTGATGGGCCTAAGTTGTAAGTAAACAGAAAACTATAGAAACTCAGGACAGATCTGTTAAATAACAATTATCTATTTCAGGTAATGACTGGAAACAAAAAAAACAAAAATAGATTTTTCAACAAAAATAGATTTAAGAGGTAATGAAGCAGGCAAAATTCATGAACAAGTTAAACTAGAAATCATCAATTTCAGGTAATGACTGGAAGAAATATTTTCTTTAAAATATGCGTTTAAAAATTACTTTTTAAAGACACCACTTCTGAAGAATCCAGTATCTCTGATGTTACACATGTACAATAATTTCTAATTTTTGTTTTCAAACATGAAAAGATAGTAATGTTCAAATTTTTTTAATATATAAAAATTTTCAAAATTTTAAAATTTACTTATTCTGCCAACTCAATCATACATTGTCTCTGACTTTATGCAAGTTTGCAAAATTTTAGATCGATTAGATAGGTATAAATGTGTTAAATATGGATTATAAGATTTGTAGCAGACAAAATTATTTTTAAATTTGTCTTAATATTGAAAACAAATTTCAACTTTTAAAATTATTTATTCTGTCAATTGGCTCATGCATTGTTTCTAACTTTACGCAAGTGTACAAAATTTCATATCAATTGGACAGGTAGAAGTGTGTCAAATATCAATTATAAGATTTGTAGAAGACAAAATGATTTTAAAATTTTTCCTAATATTGAATTTTTTTTTTAATTTTAAAATTAATTATTCTGTCAATTGATTCATGTATTGTCTCCAACTTTAAGCAAGTGTGCTAAATTTCAGATCGATTGGAGAGGTAGAAGTGTGTTAAATATAGATTATAAGATTTGTGGCAGACAAACAAACAACAAGAAGTGAAGTTAAAGAGAAGTATTGTAGAAAAAAAATTAAAAGATAATGAATCAGAAAAATTAATGACCAAATCTGAATGTTCGAACGATAGTGAATGGTCCAGTAACTAGAAATTGATACAGCAACGAACAATTCAATGAAATGGCTCATATCAAATAAATTAGACGTTAAAAAGTTGCTTGAGCGTTATTAAAAAATATTGGTTCAAAACAGACTTAAATGAATTGCAGTAACAAAGTAGAGATGCATGCGAATAAAATGCGAGTGATTGTAACCAATATTTACGATCGACATCAAAAACAATAAGTTAATAAGTTAGCATTCATCCTGATAAACGAAATTCGAAATATAATGTCACTGACGTCATTTCAGCAGATATTAGTCTAAAATTACATGGATTTATTGCGAAGTGCTTTGAAGACCTGTGAGTATTATAACGATAATTTAAATGACGATATTTCATCGTATTTAAATCGGAAGATTTGTTGCTTAGTGCAAGCAGACCCGGGAGTTAATTTCCTCAGATATTGTTATAAGGATCTATTGTTCAGACCTGAGGATTAATTTCATCAGATATTACGTATTAAAAAGATTTATTTGAAAAAGGATTTATTTATTGTTAAAAGGATTTATATTATTATTTGAAAATTTTATTGCAAAGTGTTAAGCAGACCTAAGAGTTAATTTCATCAAATATCGTTAAAAGGATTTATTATTCAGACCTGTGGATTAATTTCATCACATTCTTAAAAGGATTTATTGCTAAGCGTCGTCAGACCTGAGAGTATCGGATGCCACAAGCGTTGCACTGGTAAGGTTTCTCGCCGGTGTGTTGACGAAGATGTCGCTTGTAGTTGCTCTCCTCCACGAACTGACGCTCGCAATACTGGCAGCTGAAACGCGACGATCCCGCGTGATAAAGGCGGTGCACCTGTAATACATTGTATACTTTTATTTGCATATTAATTGAAAAGGAAAAACGTGACGATCCCAAGTGATAAAGGCGGTGAACCTGTAATACATTGTATACTTTTATTTGCATATTAATTGAAAAGGAAAAACGTGACGATCCCGAGTGATAAAGGCGGTGAACCTGTAATAAATTGTTTAATTGTATTTTTTTATATTAATTACAGAGGAAAAAGGAAAAACGTACGAATTAAAGAAAAGAATTTCGAGTGATAAAGGCGGGGCCCCTGTAATAAATTGTTGATATATTTTTTTCATATTATTTGAAGAGGGAAAAGGGAAAACGTGCGAATTAAACATGAGAATCCCGAGTGATAAAGGCGGTGCATTTGTAATAAATTGTTTATATATTTTATTTTCATATTAATTCCTTTGTGCGAATTTAACGCTACGATCCCAAGTGATAAAGGTGGTTCACCTGTAATAAATTGATGATATATTTTATTTTCATATTAATTAAAGAGGAAAAATTAAAAACGTGATAATCCCGAGTGATGAAGCGGTGCACCTGTAATGATTTGTTTATATACTTTATTTTCATATTAATTAAATAAGAAAAAGGAAAAACGTGCGAATTAAACTTGACGATTAAGAGTGATTAAAACGGTGCTCATGCAAGCAACGTTGTTTATTAATTGCTCTAATCGTAGAAAATAAATAAAGTCAGACTTCCTTTATTAACTTCCAACTAAGCATGATGATTTAGAGTGAAAGGGATCCCAGTCAGCGTACTAGTATGGGAAAACGCACAATGTTACGTGATCATGTTAAATCCAGTCACTTGAACAATTTAGAATTATTTTAGGAAAATATAATTAAAATTATAATTCAGTACTCACTGCAGTGAGTGACAGATAGCACATTTTCTCGTCCGTCCGTCCGTGAAGTCACGGACAGACGGACATGACGAGCAAACTAACGCCTTTTTTCCATAAATGAGAAAATGTGCTAAATATGATTTCACTGTCGAGTAAATGGCTCTCATAGCCGAATTACTTGAAATTTAAGAATAACAATTTGAAAATGCACTAAAGAGCGACTGCAATTTTAAGAGAAACTTCACGGATAAAAACAAATTTAAGAAAACATCAAATCGTTAGAGGGTATTTTCTCACGATAATGTTGTTTTTTAGGGAATTTTTTGCGCTAAAAACAAATAATAGCATATGTACATATATAAATAATTCAAGGTAATTTCATTACATTAGGGTCGTATTCTTGTGCGAAATTTCTTGCAGCAGAAAATAATGTCAACAATACATTAATTCGTTCTAGGGTATTTTCGCACACACAAATCTATGATAAAATAAATACCAACACACATTAAATCATTAGAAGGTAATTTGTTTACATTGAGGTCATGCTTGCGTCCAAACGTCTTGCAGCAGAAAATAAATAATAACACACAGTAAATCATCTGAAAGTAATGTCTTTACATAGAGGTCATGTTTGCGTGCGAACGTCTTGCAGCAGAAATGAATAATAACACAAGTAAATCATCTGAAGGTAATTTGTTTACATTGAGGTCATGTTTGCGTGCAAACGTCTTGCAGCAGACGGTGCAGGCGTGAGGTTTGACGGCGACATGGGAGAGCTTGTGGCGCGTTAGATCAGACGACGCAACATATGTTGCGCTGCACTCATCACAGCTGAACAAACGCTCGCCTGCAACACAATATATCATGTTAAATATAAATATATTAGGTATATTTGTTCTATTTAATATCTTCAAGTTCCCTACAAAATATTATATTCAAAATAACTATATTATATTTTTTTCTATTTAATGTCTTCAAGTTCCCTACAAAATATTATTTTTAAAATGTAAGAAAAATAAAATAACTTTATTATAATTTTTATCTTCAGCGTCTTCATTTTCCCTACAAAATATTATATTTGAAATAAAACTAAATAAAATAGGTGTATAATATTTTATATTTAGTTACAGTATCTTTATGTTTCCTACAATACCTTATATTTAAAATAAAAACAAAATAGCTTTATTATATATCTTTTATCTTTAGTATCGTCATGTTCCCAAAAAATATATTTAGAATAAAACAAAATAAAATAACTATATAATATTTCTATCTTATATTTTTTTATTAAAAAAAAATATTATATTTGAAATAAAAACAAAATACATAACTATAATATATTTTTATCTTTAGTGTCTTTATGTTCCCTAAAAAATATTATAGTTAGAAATAAAATAAAATAACTTTTTTATTAGTATCTTTATGTTCCCTACAAAATATTACATATAAATAAGAATAAATAAGAATAAAAAATTGGATAATAAATATAAATTTAGGCGCAAATGAGTTACATACTGAATATGTGTTGCAACGGGTCTCAGTTTAATCAAAGTCTTAGTTTAGAAATTATGGATAACATGTTCATGGAAATTTCAGGAAAATCTTCAAAGAAATTACATAAATAAAGCACAGATATCGGAAACAAGTTGGACGCTCTGGCATATACCAATAAGTGCAGGTTTTTGAACAGATGTTTTCCTAACTAATAGTGATTGATACCAATAACAAATCTAAGTTGATAAACCTAACACTAAGTTAATATGCCTAACACTAAGTTACTATCCCAAACTAATAGCGAGTTAATATCCTCAACTAACTAATAGATGTTTCCCCACAGAAACTTCATAAAAATATAGGACAAGCTCAGGCAAATACCAATAACTGCGGGTTTTGAATAGAATCAATAGATGCATCCCTAACCGTCATGTATCTTGAGATGTCGAGACTGTGGGTTTTGGGTTTTTGTGTTTTCAGCGCATTTTCTCATTTATGGAAAAAAGGCGGTATTGAGCTCGTCATGTCCGTCCGTCCGTCTGTCTGTCCGTCCGTGACTTCACGTTTTCGTCGACGAGAAAATGCGCTCCGTCACTCACTGCAGTGAGTACTGAGTTATATTTTTTGAGATAACTGTGTGTTTTGAATAGATGCATCCCTAACCGTCGTGTATCTTGAGATGACGTTTGAGGGAATGCGCTGCATAGAAGCCAGTGCCGCAGCGCTCACACGTGTAGCGCCGCTCGCCGGTGTGGTACAACATGTGCTTGTCCAGCGTACATTTGCGGCTGAAGCTTTTCTTGCACACTGAGCATACGAACGACCTGATGCCTGCAAATGTTTAATTCAAATTATCACGATTTTTGTCAATATTTCATTGGCAATATGAACGACCGGATGCCTGCGAATGTTTAATTAGAATTATGACGATTTTTGTCAATATTTAATTGGCAATACAAACGACCGGAAGCCTGTCAATGTTCAATTTAAATTTTCATGATTCTTGCCAATAATTAATTGACAATACAAACGAATGGATGCCAGTGAATGATTAATTAAAATTATTACGATTTTTGTAGAATATTTCATTGGCAATACAAACAACCGGATGCCTGTGAATGTTCAATTTAAATTATCACGATTCTTGCCAATAATTAATTGACAATACAAATAACCGGATGCATACTAATGTTTAATTCAAATTATCACGATTTATGTCAATATTTAATTGGCATTCAAGTATTAGTGAAACTCGTCTGAGTAATATGGATACAAGAAACTAAGTTGTGCAATATTCAACAGCGAAACAAAATAAAGCATTTGATAAGATAAAAAAAAAAAAACTGTAGGCAATATTAACAGTGAAGTTTGATATTGTTAAAAACTAATATTACACGAATTTATGACGTGCACAATATAATTCACATACAACCACGATTAAAAACACAAGTCTCACCGGAGTGAAGTCTGAGATGAAGTGTAAGGTTTGATTTTGATGCAAATCTCTTCCCACACACAGCACACAAATTAGATGCTGGAACTGCCTTGGAGGTGCCGTGCCGATGCTTCTTGTGTATCTTCAAATTGTGAAGCGTTGAAAAGCTCAGGCCGCAATCACCGCACTGTAACAAAAAGGTTGACAATCAGCCTATACACACCAGAAAATTTAATTTTTAAATTGAACAGACATAAGAATTTGAATTGTTTTTTCAAATTGTAAAGCACTGAAAAGGAGCAAAAAGATTGAATGGAATGGATTCAATGGAAGTTATTTATTCATTCATTGTTCCATCATTTCATTTTTTCTCATAATTAAATTGAAAACAAGGAACTAGCACATACTTGGTCATTTTCATTTAAAAATTGTAGCTTAGTATTGTTTTCTAGTTAAATAAATAAAAACCCACAAGGATAACGGCATTTTCTATGACAATATTTGTATAGTATTGTTTAACCCTCTACCGCCGTATGTCACTCTCCGGGAACATAACTCTCAACTTAAATTATACGTAAACTATTGAGTGTAGCAGGCTAGCAGCCTGAGTACGTTTGTACGCAACAGAGAACATTTTAACCCTCTATCGCCATATGTCACTCTCCGGGGACATAACTTTCAACTTAAATTATACGTAAACTATTGAGAGTAGCAACCTGAGGACGTTTGTACACAACAGAGAACATTTTAAAGTTGTCGTACGTGGGGGCAACCATCAGTGCAAGTCATTTTGCGCTCACTAGAACGTATCCTTTTTGGGAAGTAGGCTGGTGACAATATTGCTGCGGTTACTCGTGTCAGGCGGTAGAGGGTTAATGATAATGTTTCCACCTTTCACCTCATGAGTCCCAGCTTTGCGGTGAGTGGCAGCTCGATGCGCCAGTAGCACTCGCCTGCATGTTAAGAAATTGGGGAAAACAAACACAGTTCATCAAGAGTCATACATTTGATGAAATCTCTAAGGTAAATAATGCAGGTTAAATTATTATTCATCAAATGTTTGAAATTTGCGTGGAATGTTTACTTTAAAAAATGTGTTTTGTGAATTTTACATAAAATTATCACATGAAAAACCATTTAGGGGAAGATTGATTTGTTTGCTTGAATTGAACAAAGAAACGAAAGTTTAACATAAAAAATTGATAATAAACAAAAAAATTTTTACTCTAATGCAAATTAAGTTAGTTTCATATTGATTATAAATATAACAATGACAGTCCATTAATTAAACAAAAGATAGACGAGAAGCTGGTGATCATAATTATATTGAGAACACAAACCTTGATGAGAACGTCGTGTCACAGTCCGTGCACTTGAACAATTTCTTCATCTTGGTTGAAACAACATTAACCTTGTCTTGAGTTTCAGGACAGATGGATTTGCTTTGGAGGTATGATGGATCATCAATTTCATTTTCTTCAACGCTGGATGAAGCTAAATTATCATGGTCATAGACTGGTGAGGTTGAAGTTTCATTGACTGCTGAAGTACCAGCAATGTCATGGCTTTGGATGCACACTTTTTCAGGCTTAGTTGAAGAAACATCATTTTCATTGGCAGTGCGAAGTTCCAAATCTTGTGATGGATATTTCTTGTGAAAGATCAAATCAATATAATTGTCAGGAGACTTAGGAAGATTGTTCAGATCATTTGATGAAGAAACGTGTGTCTCATTGGTATGAGAGGAAGCCACAGATTCTGAGTTTATTATAAAAAACCTTCTGGAACCACCAGAGGAAGTGTGTAGGTGGGCCGAGGGACTAGAGAACACTTCAGATGTAGAAAAATTATCCAGAGCTGTTGAGGCATTAAGTTCATTCTTAAAAGCAAAGGAAATATAGTTGGGCATATTTTTAGAAGAAATTTCAGGAGGCAGAGTGGCATTAGATGACAAAAAATTAATTGGTGCTTTAATAACAGGGCGAGCATTATTCATTATGCCAGCTCCAAGTTTAAATGATGTTTTGATCTTTGAGTTAGTGTTTTTGCTCTCCTTCACAACACTGTACATTTCCGGTGTATTAGATACACACAATGCTGAATTGGTTGATGAAACATTCTTGAAATTCAACACAGCTACTTCATTATCACTGAGCAGCTCTGCTGAGCTTACACCGTTGTTCACAAGGAGATTAGAAGGGATTGTGGGTAAATTGTTTAAATTGCCAATTTTCCTTGATGATGTGAAATTACTTTCAGTACTACAGTTTCTGAAGGCATCTTTGCACACAGTAGGAAAATAATGCACTTTGGTGGTGTAGATACCAGAAATATTAGAAGATTCTATTTCATCTTTTTCAGAGTCCTGACTAATGATGGCAGTGCTAGGGCAATCCACGTTATTTAATAAGGTCTTATTGTACAATGAGTTGTCAATGTTACTTATAGTTGAGGGAATAATAGAACAAGCTGAATAATTGGATTCTGTTTGAATTTGACCTTGAGAGATATAACAGTAATTTGAATTGTGGTTTGCCTCATTTTCATTCCTTAAAGTGCATATGGAAGAAGGTTCTTTGCGTAATGTGGATTTACCAAACAATCTACTTTGTGGAATGATTGAAGAGATATTTAAATCATTTGCCAAAACATTTGAAGGAACAGTGTCAAAAAGAAGCATGGCATCCAAGTTAGTGGCACTAAGTCTTTCACGGTTCAATATTATTCTGGGGTTGATGTCAATTATTTTAGTTATTGTTTTTCCAATTGAAATTGTAGCATCACTTGAACCTTCAACAGGGGTTGCTGCATGCACACACTTGACATCTGTAATCAGACTGTCATTGTTTCTATGAATATCTTGCCTGCACAGAAAATTACCAAAGTGTAAGTGCTCATGTAATTACATAATAATTGAACAAAAAACAATGTATATTACAACACTTCTCTTTAACTTTCACTTCTTGTTGATAGTTTGTCTGCTACAAATCTTACAATCGATATTTAACACACTTCTACCAATCCAATCAATCTGAAATTTTGCACACTTGCCATTGTCTCTGATTTTTATTCAGAGACAATGCACAAATGAATTGACCGAATAAATAATTTTATAAATTGATTTTGTTAATTTAAAAAAATTGTAAAATAATTTTTTTTTATATTAAAAAAAATGTTCATTGTACATTAGTAACATCAGAGACACAGGCCTCTTTGAAAAAAGTGTTGTCTTTAAAAAGTAATTTTTAAACACATATTATTTAAATTAAAAAGAAAGAAGTTTATACTCAAATGAATAATGTCATCGTTATGAGCGACATAGATAGGCTTTTACCTATGAATCATAATACAACTAAAATTAGGCTATAAAATAATAACATAAACAATAACTTAAAAATATAACTCAGTACTCACTGCAGTGACTGACAGAGAGCGCATTTTCTCGTCAACGAAAACGTGAAGTCACGGATGGACGGACAGATGGACATGGCAAGCACAATAGTGCATTTTTTCCATCAATGAGAAAATGCACTAAAAAGAGCATAATAAATATAATTTCTCACTTGAATGTTTCTGAAGAACATTCTATGTGTGATGGTCCTGCTGGTGCTGTCACACCTTCAACATCATGTGTGTTGATACATGCGTCACATTTCACCTGAGAAGGCAAATAAATATATTTCAGGACAATATGATAACCAATTCATATTTTTATTCAAATGATATCACTTATAAGAAAAAATTAGTGAACAGAGCAATTTCACAATAAATGAGTATATATAATCTCTCAAAAATTGCTTGATTAAATACTCAATTTAACTTGTGATGAAATATATAATAGAGTCAAAATGGATCAGATAGTGAAGAATTGAGGGTACATTTGATCAAGTCAATGGCAATGTCAGCATTTTCTGTCTCCTATGAATATAGATACTTATTTTCTTATTACGAATATTGCATACTGCAAGAACAATAGAATTTGTAAGTAATTTGTGCTGATTATTGTGATCAAGTCAAATTAAATTAAATACATTAATTAATTTAATTATTAAATGTAATGCTCATGATTACACTGAAGAAAAATTGGCATGAAAATCATCTCCTAGATACAACATAATATCTTAATCTGGAAAAGGCTTTTTTGGGCATTCTCAAAACAGCACAACTCTTTTCAGTAACAATTAAATGTGCTTTTCATTACCTTTTTTGATAATTCAATGATATGGTCTTCAAGATGTTTTTTTAACAACATCCAATGTGAAAATGTATTATTTACATTACAAAAATTACATGTTAAATCTAAATTCAACAAACATTTTGATCCAGAAATGGATTCTAATTCCAAGAAATTGTTTTCTCTGATGTTCATAACAAATCAACAGATTAAAATAAAACTTCTTAGCCAAAATATGATTTTGTATTTAGCATGAACTATGGAGTTGGTTGAACTGGAGCTTCTGAAAAAGTATATAAAAAACACAGATGAAAACATGAAGTACCTATAGATAAATCAAACCAGTCTAATGTTAGTCTCATCTGCCAAAAATCATATAATGACAATATTTACAAGGTATTAAGAAAACATGCTTTGCCATTTTTTTACCCCAAAAGGCAGCTCTAATATTGCTAGAAAACTTCGAAAAAACACACACACAACAAATGCTCAAAGGCAAAGTGCTCACTGCAGTGAGTGACAGCGCAAGCGTTTTCTTGTCTGTCCGTCCGTGAAATCACGGACAGACATACATGAGGAGCACAATAGCACCTTTTTTCCATAAATGAGAAAATGCGTTAAAAAGAGGCATACTGTTCAGTGGATTTTAAAACCAGCAATTACAAGTATGTCTTACGGGTCAACTAATTATAGCTACTTAAAACTGTCAGACTAATCTACATGTGCCAATGGTTCAGTATGATAGATACTACCATTGTCATACTTCAGCAGCAAAGTATGGGATAACATTATCAATGAACTGAAAAGCAAATGCAATTAGCAATTTCATTAATTTTCAAGTCTGGGTCTTTGACACTGGAATAAGTGGAAATTATTAAGCTTTTACTTATCAGTAATAGGTGGTCTAGTGTCTCAACAAATAACCAAGCTATTAACTATTGATCCTTTTAAAAAAATAAACATGAGTTAAATACAAGTGTATATAAAAGTAATAAATTAGAATTAGATGACAGAATAAATTGTTTAAACACAGGTGTTTAATGACCAGAGAATTAATTAATTTAAATTTTTGTGGTCAAACAATTTTTCAGATGATGTTAGTTGATAAAAATGTAGGTTTATGGAAGGAATTTTAATTGATTAATAATGTTTTTGAATGTAAAAGCACTCATTTTAAGTAATAAATCATTGAAGCTGAAATTTTTGTGCAAATAAGTACATGATACACGTAAATATGATGCAACATGAAAATTTGGAACCATGAAAATAATTTAAGAACAATCTCAAAAATCAGAAAATGCAGTAGTAGTTCTGATATGGATAGCTGGAGACCAATCAGTAGAGATAAGGGCTAAAGCTATCGTCCGTCGTACAATGTCAGGCCGCAGCATGATGACGACGCTCGTGGGCTCCTCTAGCATTGTGGGCGCCAGAAACATATTAGTTGAAATTAAAAATGAGGTAACTGCATTTAAAATTATATCCTGGGTGACATCAGTAAAAGGGCCTCCCCCAAGCAGGTTCTTTGAATTGACTGGAACATTAAGCACAGCTAATGTGTTAGAAAGATTAGTAGGGGCAGGGGCATGGATAGGACAATTCAGCAGCAGGTGATGAATGGTTTCTGGTGTCTCCACAGCCAGTACAATTTTTATTTGAAGGCCCATAGCCAATTGCCCACTTTCTCCTTGATTAAGCTAATGCAGAGGCCCTTCTTGAATTTCTGATATTTTTCAGCCAGGAACTTTTCCATTTTGACCATAATCTTAAAATTGAACTGTCTTGCCAGTTTCTCGTTCAAGATGGCAGTTAAGGTGTCCATAGATTGAGGCCTGTAAATAATGTAAGAAGTAAATGCATGCATCAAAGTGAATGTGCACAAAGAGATTTAAAATGTTTTTACACAAATTTGGATTCTGTTTTGAACAAAAAAAGTGAGCTGTTAACTGTGATCAAAAACGAGTGCATTGACATTATTTGTATTACAGAAACACTCTCTAAAAATCTCGGGGGGAAAATTGTACCTGTTGAATTTCAGTTGCCAGGTTTTAATTGTTTTCATAACTTAAATGAAGAGCAGTGCAGTAGAGGTGTAGCTTTGTGGGTTAGAACCTCTTATGGGGCTCAGCAAGTTAAATTATCTGCAGAACGTCAATCAGCTAGAGAATCAGTGTGGTGCGAACTTTCTCTCAAAGGCAAAGATAGCCTCCTCATGGGCGCCATGTATAGATCACCAAACAGTTCCTCTGATAATGATAAAGTACTAAACAGTCTTTTACCAAGCATGACTTTCCGTAGCTCCCACATGTTGATCGTTAGTGATTTTAATCATCCAGAACTAGACTGGACAGAAGGATCCTCTCCAAAGGATGGAATCACCAAGCATCCTTGTTTATGGAGTATGTGAGAGACTCCTTGCTAGTCCAGCATGTTACCAAGATAACCCATTATAGGAGTAAACAGACTCCCAATATTCTAGCCCAGGTGTGTTTACTAGTGATGAATCAATGTTAGATGAGCTTCTTCACGAGGCTCCATTGGGCAAAAGCCATCACCAATCATTGTGTTTTAGTCTGAAGTGCTGTACAGAGAAGACACCTTGGAAGCGTGATCATTTGAATTTAGCAAAAGGCGACTATGATAAACTCCGTGAAGCAGTGAATGCAGTGAATATTTTGAACTGCATTAAGGACATGGATGTGGCTGAGTCATGGTCATTTCTTAAGGACACGGTTATGTCTGCAGTTGATGAGTGTGTACCTAAAATTAAGTTTGGTGGAGCCAAAAAAAAAAAACACAGTGGATGAATACCTAGTACAGTTCTAGCTAAGCTGAAAAAAAAGAAGGAAGCCTACCAGCATTATTTACAGACTCATAGCGATGGTGATTATAACCTATACGCAAGAGCTCAAAATCAAGTTAAAGAAAGCTGTTGCACCGCAGTAAAAACCATCGAAAAAAATATTGCTAAAAATGCAAAAAAGAACCAGAAAGCCTTCTTTTTGTACGCTAGCTCAAAGTGCAAGATGAAGAACGGTATTTCTGATTTGAAAGTAGATAAACGAAAGATATTCTCTGATGAGGGCAAGGCTAAAGTTCTTAATCAGTTTTTCAGTAGCGTATTCACTGAAGAGGACTTGAACAGTATTCCAGCAATGGAGGAGCGCCCAGTCAGCTCTAAATTAACAAGTTTTGAAATACAAGAAGAATAGGTTCTCAAGCGCCTTATCGCTGTAAATCCAAACAAGTCATGTGGACCAGACGGCTTCCACCACAGATTACTCAAAGAGTTAGCAACTTTCCTAGCCGGCCCTTTGACATCATTTTTTTAAAAAACTTTGAACAAAGGGATCTTGCTGGCTGACTGGAAAGAAGCTCAAGTAACACCATTATTCAAGAAAGGTGACAAAAGCTGCCCGGGCAACTATCGCCCTGTCAGTTTGAAAAGTGTTGTTTGCAAGGTAATGGAATCTGTTGTGAGGGATTGATTGATAGATCATTTGACTGCTAATAATCTCCTATCAGACTGTCAACATGGCTTTATTGCCAGGAGATCCTGCACCACTAACCTCTTGTCTACTCTGAACAAATGGACCAGCCTGCTGGACGAAAGTGAGCCAGTAGATGCAGTGTACCTCGATTTTGCCAAGGCATTTGACAGTGTCCCACATGAGTGGCTGCTGCTGAAATTGCAGTCTTTGGGAATTGACAGCAATGTACTCAAATGGATCAGAGATTTTCTAGTAGGGAGACGCCAATGTGTCAGTATTAATGGTTCCGTATCAGACTGGGCTCCAGTGCGCAGTGGCATGCCAAAAGGAAGCATTTTCGGGCCTGTTTTATTCATTGCATTTATAAACGTTCTGCCAGAAGCTGTGTCTAGCGAGTGCTCGATGTATGCTGACGACACAAAATTTTGTAATACAGTGAATAATATGTCATAAAAGTACAGTTACAAGGTGATCTTGACAGGCTGGTTGACTGGGCTGATAAGTGGCAGCTGCATTTTAACACTGACAAATGTAAAGTAATCCACCTTGGCAAGAACAATGAACAGCAAGATTACAGTATGAGAAGACACGGTTGCAACGACAGAGTGATGATGTCAAAGTCGACAATGGAAAAAGATTTAGGAGTTAATATCGACTACGTGTTGAAATCCTCTAAGCATATTAAAGGTCAAGTTAATAAAGCCAATAAATGACTTGGACTGATCAGACACTCTTAAGAGTTCCTAGATACAGAAGCGATGAAGCAGTTGTTTGTTGCTGTCGTACGCCCAAACCAGGAGTTTGAAACGTCGTGTGGTCACCGAAGCTTGAAAAGGACAAAAATTTAATAGAGAGTGTTCAAAAACCTGCAACAAGGATAATTCCGGGCTTGAAAGGCAAGTCCTATGAGGATAGATTAAAGATTATGAAGCTTCCAAGCCTCAGTTATCGACGTCTGCATGGGGAACTCATTGAAGCATACAAGTATACCTACTCATGACTTATAAAAGGATTACTAGAATTTGAAACAAGAACCAACACCAGGGGCCACAGCTATAAACTAAAAAAACTGCGTTGTAACACATCCATGCAACAACATTTCTTATGAATTTCAACAACATTTCTTATTTCGCTCCAAGTATGAACGCCTTCAAGAAAAGACTGGACAAAGCTATGCAGGATCATATGTTCAGTCTTAAAATGCCTAGCAAATTACGGACGAGGCAATAAGTTCAGCAGCTATCTCAATCAATCGTCAGTTATGGAAAGATCGGGTTGCAAAGGCCAGATCCCTTGTGAATCAAGTCACAAAAAATTCAAGAATTGGCAACAGGCCATGGACCTATTTCTTCAGTGCCAACACTTCTATTCTATTCTATTAAGGTGCAGTACTGCAGGGAATGTGCTTCTGCTGCTACCTGGTCTGCCACCATGTTGCTCCCAATGCCCTTCTGCCCAGGGATGTAGTGCAGGAATATTTCATTATTAAAAGCTGTCTGGTCTTCTATTTTTGATCAGTAAAATGGATGAATGGAAGTCAGTAAGGGTAACAAGTATTTCAGCAAGAGAAAGATTCTTTAGTGACCAGTCAAGAGCCCCGTTTATTGCAAACAGCTCCAACTCTACTTCCTCTAACTCAGGACGTAGTCTTCAGTTGAGCAGAATAGAATAGAATATAAGTGTCGGCATTGAAGAAAATAGGCCCATGGCCTGTTGCAGATTCTTGAATTTTTTGTGACTTGATTCACAAGGGATCTGGCCTTTGGAACCCGATCTTTCCATAACTGACAAATTTAT